GGCAGGAAGGAGCAAACAGGAGGGTATTGAGCCCCCCTCCAATGAGCAGGACCAGGACCCATCAGTCCCCAGCAGGAGCAGGAGCCCCCACGAGCAGGAGCAGGAGGAGCATCAACGTTCAGGACCAGCAGTAGGAGGAGCAGGAGGCTCAAGAAGCAGGAGGAGGAGGTGGTGGTGGTGGAGGAGGAGGAGGAGGGTCAGAAGGTTTCGTTGCCAGTAGCAGCAGGGGGCGGGAGCCTCTGAGTGGTCGGCAAGGATCAGAGGAGGCTGCATGATGTCACAAACACCGCGGCGGGCCATCCCCTACACTCCAGAATATTTTCGCCCGGTACTAGGGCCGTATGTCACGGTCGGATCATCGCGGCCCGGGTCCGGGGCCGAGCCGGGCATCAAGTACTATGTTTGGTATGGGCCGGGCTGTCCGGATCCGATCCGTCACTGAGCCTGGTGATCTGGCAGTCCGATCACGGCGTAACTCAGCCTGCCTGGCTACTGCCGACTGAGCCGCTCAACTTAGTTGCATTTCAACTTGAGCGTGACTGAAACGGTTGCAAGTTGAGTCACGCTCCGCCAGTGTCGACGGTCGGTGGCACCGGCCGTAGGAGGCCGCCGCCACCGGGCTGATCGGATGGGGCGGGCCCATGATTCAATGAAGTTGGTCGGAGCCTGAGGGGTCGGCGGCGACGGTCTGAACGCCGCCGCCCGGCCGCGTGCCGATCACATCAATATCCGTGGCACTTGAAACTCGGGCCGCCGGGGCTCCGGCACGGTCGGTCGATCGGACTCAGTCCCGGCGCCCGGGGACTCGCCGGGACTTCGGCCAGTGACCCAGCGTTCAAAGTTCAACCATCCGGGTTGTGACAGTGCTGGTGATCCTCTAATGATTTATTAGGCTACTGTGACAGTTGAATCAGGGCAATGCCGAAGAAGCGAGTCAGCGATGCAGCTCATAGAGCACGAGGAGGAGCCGAGGGATGAAAATGAGCAGCAGGATGGGCAGCAGGATGAGCAGCTCACGAAGATTGGACGCTGCTTCCTCCTATCATGGTGCACATGTTGTCGCTAGACTGAGCGTACTCGTTGGCAGGACAAGACCTGGATACAAACATGAGCCTGACCCCCGAAGCTCTCTCATTCTCTTACGCGGGCTTAATGGGGCAGCTGTTGAAATACTCGTAGGTGGTACCAGAGTCCTGGTTGTAGCTCTTGTTGGGCACCAGGAGGACGCAGCTCTAGCAGAGAGTCAGGCCGGCATGCAGTCGCGTCGTCTCACCTCAAGGGAAGAGAATAGGGAAGAGAATGTCCTGATGTCGGCGAACATCTGAAGCAGCAGGGTATCAGGTTCAGGGCCGGAAATTCACGACTAAGAGGAGATTCGAACAACGTTTAACACTCGCTCAAACAAACAAGCTCCATCCTCCTACCTCTCCCTCCTCCTCTCCCTCCTCCTCTCCCTCCTCCTCTCCCTCCTCCTCTCCCTCCTCCTCTCCCTC